AAAAAAAAATAGCCAGGCATTGTGGCGGGCACCTGTAGTCACAGCTACTTGGGAGGCAGAGGCATGAGAATCGCTTGAGCCCAGGAGGTAGAGGTTGCTGTGAGCTGTGATGCCACAGCACTCTACCCAGGGCGACAGCTTGAGGCTCTGTCTCAAAACAAAAAAAAAGGAACAGAGTCTTACTTTGTCACCCTTGGTAGAGTGCCATGGCATCACAGCTCACAGCAAAATCAGCTCTTGGGCCCTTCACCCAGGAGATGATGTTTAGTCTCCATTTTCTTTATGGCTGCATAGTATTCCATGGTATACATATACCACAGTTTATTTATCCATTCTTGAGTTGATGGGCCCTTGGGTTTGTTCATTGTACCTAATCATCAAAGAAATGCAAATCAAAATATTACCTAGGGTGGCACCTGTGGCTCAGCGAGTAGGTGCCAGCCCCCTATACCGAGGGCGGTGCTTTGAACCTGGCCCCGGCCAAATTGCAACAAAAAAATAGCCAGGTGTTGTGGTGGGCACCTGTAGTCCCAGCTACTGGGAGACTGAGGCAGGAGAATTGCTTGAGCCCAGGAGCCCAGGAGGGCTCACCTACAACTTGGACTCTACCTAACAAACACAAACAATGTAACCTAATTATATATACTCTTATATTAATCTGAAATGAAAAATAAATTTAAAAATAAATAAAATCATTTAAATAAAAAATAATTTAAAAATATTTAAAAAGACCAAAAAGCACCAACAAATACTTCAATTTATTTATTAAAAAAATATTTTATCGATGCTCATATGAGCCCTATGACAGGGCAGAGGTTTATTAGCACTATTGTTAAGAAAAAACAGGCTTAATGACCGGCACGGTGGTTCACATCTGTAATCTTAGCACTCTGGGAGGCTGAGGTGGGTGAATTGCTTGAGCTCAGAAGTTCCAGACCAGCCTGAGCAACAAACAGTAAGACCCCTGTCTCTAAATATAGCCAGGCGTTGTGACTGATGCCTATAGTCTCAGCTACTCTGGAGGCAGGGGCAAGAGGATTGCTTGAACCCAAGAGTTCAAGGTTGCTGTGAGCTATGATATAACGGCACTTAACCCCAGGGGGAATGAGTGATACTCTGTCTCAAAAAAAAAAAGAAACAGGCTTAGTGCCTGTAGCTCAGTGAGTAGGGTGCCAGCCATATACATTGAAGCTGACAGGTTTGTGCCCAGCCAGGGCCTGCTAAACAACATGACAACTGCAACAAAAACAACAAAATAATAGCCAGGCATTGTGGAGGGCGCCTGTAGTCCCAGCTACTTGGGAGGCCGAGACAAGAGAATCCCTTAAGCCCAAGAGTTTGAGGCCAGGGCTAAGGTAGGGTGACCAGATTCTAACATCTGTAAGGCGGGACAACATGGCCCGGGGGCGGTGCGGGGGCGGAGCACGGCACCCGGCAGGGCCTAACAAGGCAAATTTTGATAAGCAGTTCTCGATAATCACTTCTCAGCAATTATTTATTACAGTTTAACATTATAAAATTAACAAAAATAATATAAAACTCCTGGCGAAATAGCCATATGGCCGCCGAAAACCGTATATTCCCTTCTTGTTCTCCAGCCAGTTAGTGCATTCTTTCCAAAAATCGGGACTTTTTTAAAACGCCATGGGACACGGGACAAATTGTTGAAAAGCAGGACTGTCCCGCCAAAATCTGGACATCTGGTCACCCTAGCTAAGAGCAACATAGTGAGACACTGTCAAAGAATGGGAAGAAAAGGGGAGGGGAGGGGAGAGGAGCAGAAGGGAGGTAGGCGAAAGAAAAAAAAAAGGAAAAGAAGAGAAAGAGGAGAGGAGAGAAGAAAAGGAGAAAAGCTCAGAAAGGTGAATGATTTGTCCCAAGGACTCAAATTAGTGAATTGCAGGTATAAACTTCTGGCTGTAAGGCATAGGTAGGTTCTGAATCATAGGGGAGTATTTTCCAGAAAGAACTGGATAAGGTCCTTATTAGGGTATAAAGGGGTAAGGAATCCCAGGCTATCTTCTTTAAAGATTGAGATAAGACACTGAAGCAAATGTAGACACACGTCCCTGTCCCTTTAAGGGAAAGTGGGAGGAAATAGCAAAATACATCTTGACATTTCTGAAAACAAAACTACTACTGTTGCCCAAGGTCACAAAACTAGCAAGTGTTGGAATTAAGATCCAAGTTTCTCTAACTCAAAAGCCTATGCCCTTTGTCTACCATGTCACGCTGCCTTTTAGTTTCTCTTATATGTTGGATATTTATTTATTTATAGACATAGTCTCAAGCTGTTGCCCTGGGTAGAGTGCCATGGCGTCATAGGTCACAGCAACTTCTAACTCTTGGACTCAAGTGATCCTCTTGCCTCAGTTTCTTTTTTTTCCTATTTTTAGTAGAGATGGGGTCTTGCTTTTGCTCAGGCTGGTCTCCAACTTGTGAGCTCAAGCTATCCACTTGCCTCAGCCTCCCAGAGTGCTAGGATTACAGGCATGAGCCACCATGCCTGGCCATGTTGGATATTTTTAAGTGACTGCTTCCTTTTCCTTTTTGTAAATGTTTTACTCAAACCACATGAACTTCTATGGGCAGTGTGGCTCTAACTTTTAAAACAATTCATTTTGAACAGTTAAAAACATAATTTGAGGGTGGGTGCGGTGGCTCACTCTATGAGGCCAAGGTGAGTAGATTGCCTGAGCTCACAGGTTCAAGATCATAAGAGTGAGATCCGGTCTCTAAAAATAATCAGGTATTGGCTCGGCGCCCATAGTTCAGTGGTTAGGGCATCGGCCACATGTACTGGGGCTGGTGGGTTCAAACCCGGCCTGGGCCTGCTAAACAACGACAATTACAACAAAAAAATAGCTGGGCGTTGTTGTGGGTGCCTGTAGTCCCAGCTACTTGAGGGGCTGAGGCAACAGAATCGCTTAAACTCAAGAGTTTGAGGTTGTTGTGAGCTGTGATGTCATGGCACTCTACCGAGGGTGACATAGTGAGAGACTGTCTCAAAAAAACAAAAAACATAAATAAATAAAATAAAAATAAAAACAGCCAGGTGTTGTGACGAGCGCCTATAGTCCCAACTACTCATGAGGCTGAGACAAGAGAATTGCTTGAGCCCAGTAATTTGAGGTTGCTGTGACCTGTGATGCCAGAGCTCTCTACCGAGGGCAACATAAAAAAAAAAATTAAAAACCTAATTTGGATATATCTATTCTATAAAATTCAAGAACTTCAAAATGTTGTACAGTGAAAAGTCATTCTTCCTGTCCCTCCCAAAGTCCTGCAGTCCCAGTTCCATTCATCAAAGGCTGCTACACTTGTTGGAACGCCCATTCAGACACAGCACACTGACACTGCAGCCTATGCACACACAGCTTTTATATGTACAGCTGCTTATATCCCCTTTCCCTTCTATAAACAGTAGCATATTATTCACCCCGTAGTGCACCATATTTATTCACTTACCAACTTATCACTTACCAACTGATAGATTGTTCTCATCACAGGTTTTTATTTATTTATTTATTTTTTTTTTTTTGAGACAGAGCCTCAAGCTGTCCCCCTGGGCAAAGTGCCGTGGCATTACAGCTCATAGCAACCTCCAACTCCTGGGCTCAAGCGAGTCTCCTGCCTCCGCCTCCCAAGTAGCTGGGACCACAGGCGCCCGCCACAACGCCGGCTATTTTTTGGTTGCAGCCATTATTGTTGTTTGGCGGGCCCGGGCTGGGGATTCGAACCCGCCACCTTAGGTGTACATGGCTGGCGCCTTAGCCGGTTGAGCTATAGGCGCCGAGCCTCATCACAGGTTTTTTAACGGCCACATAGAATTACCTTAAGTGGATGTACCATAATTTATTTAACCAGCTCCCTACTGATGGAAATTTAGTTTGTTTCTGTGATAATGAAAATTTAAAGAGATTCCCTCCCATATGTAAGTAATTCTTTCCTACAACCTCTGGCTAATAGTGTGAACAATTTTGAAGTAATTTCCTATTCCTTTCTTTTTTCAGTCCCCTTCACTGCTAAGTCCTACTCATTCATTTCTCTCTCTCTCTCTTTTTTTTTGCGGGGGTGGGGGGAGGAGGGTGGACAGAAGCTCAAGCTGTCTCCCTGGGTAGAGTGCCGTGGTGTCACAGCTCACAGTAACCTCCAACTCCTGGGCTTACGCGATTTTCTTACCTCAGCTGCCCAAGTAGCTGGGACTACAGGTGCCTGCCACAATCCCTGGATTTCTTTTGCTGTAGTTGTCATTGTTGTTTGGCAGCCCCTGGGCTGGGTTTGAACCTGCCAGCTCTGGTGTACATGGCTGGCCCCCTCGCTGCTGAGCTACAGGCACCGAGCCTACTGTGTTTAGTCTTTGGCATGGTTTAGCATTAAACCATGTCCTACCTGGGCAGCCTCATAAGTGATGGTCTTGGTCTCAGTGTGGACGATAGGAACGTCTTTGGTTGGGATTTCACTTTTCCCAGCATTGGCAGTATCTGAGATGGTGACAGTTTGAGTCTTCACCAGCGGAGGCTGTAAAGCAGTAAAGAAACAGTTACTGGAGTCCTTTTGAAGGCTGTGGAGAAATAATCTTCTGACATTGATCTGATCAAAGTGTTAGCTTTAATCAAGCACAGGGCTAACTCAATCTCCAAAGGTGCCCAAGACTTGGACACTATTCCAAAGTAGCCATGACAAGGCATCAAATCATGAGGGCCATTAAAAAGCAGCATTAATGTAATCACTTTCATAAGCTTAATGGAAAGCTACCATGTATAAGATCAGAGTTACGACTGGTGATATAAAACACGTCAGACTGACCTTCAGAACTTGAATATAAAACTATTTGCCAAATAGCAATCACTTTCATTTGTCCTTGCGACTGTACCATTATAATTAAGAAAATCAGCCGCATTTCCTCTACTAAGTACAAATGGTACATGAAACAGCAATGGCTCTGGAATGCATTACCCTGGAATTCATTAACTTTTTTCAAATCAATGTCAGACATTCACTTTGGAGTTACGGAGAAGAAACAGTATTTGGAAAACTTTTGGAAAGAAAAAAAAAATCACTTCTACCACCACCTGGTGATTAATCTCAGAATTTCAGAAGAGTGAATATTAGTGGAGTATCAAAGGCCTTTTGTCCATCTGCTCACCTTCTCTAAGACTATAAATCACCCTAAAAATGCCATTTGATTGTGATGAGGTTAAACAGCCATCCACCTTTGCATAGAAAATTAGTACTATGATCCTGGAAGCCCTTGTGAGTGGGGTCAGTGGGAGTGGTGGGCTGCATGATATGGCAGCAGCATATAAATTATTACCGGGGGTCTGAGATCTTATTAAAAAAAAATCAGTTGCCTCTCTAATTAAAAGCATTTGAATTTTTTAATCATGGTCTCAGAGAACTGGACGTTCCTCAGCATAAACATCTCCAAAATTCACCTCCTTCCACAGCTTACACTTGAACAAGGAAAACATGAACACACACCAGCTTCATAAAGACAAATAGCTGGAGTTTACTCTGGGAGGCTTTTTTTGTTTGTTTTTTTGGGGGGTTTTTGCAGTTTTTGACCAGGGCTGGGTTTGAACCCACCACCTCCGGCATATGGGGCCAGCACCCTACTCCTTTGAGCCACAGGTGCTGCCCTACTGGGAGTTTTTAAAAGTCATCAGGGGAGACAGTATTTCTAGCCATGGAGTTAATTCTTCTGAAAGAACTTCTTTGTAGCAATCAAAGGCTTTAATTTTACTCAGTGATTTTGAAAAAAGCAGAGAGACCACTACCCTCACCACACCACCACCACTGCCTCCACAGGACAGATTCTAGCCCTCTGCCAAGAGTCATTAGACCTGTATCATCAAATCAGTTACTACCTGGAAACTTCGAATGAGGGTGGGGAACTGGTTACCCACACGAGAGTCAAGAAATGATCCATTTTGGATTCCAAGTAGTTCTCCTGGTTCTTCACTATTCTCTGACATTTTTTCACCAAGTTGCAGCTGACCGGAAGCTGGTGCTACTGAGAACTTTAAGGCACTGGCCTGCTCCTCCACTCCTACACATTCCCCATTTGGGCCTCTTGGCAGCTCCTCAATATCAAGATAGCCAGCTGCCCCCTGTTCCTTCTCTTCTGTCTCCTTGCTGCTTATGGAGAGGGAGCCCAAGGCAAAGCTTTGTGGAGACTCCGACGGGGTGGGCATCTGGCTCTTACTAGGAACTACTGATTGCTTGAGGCCCTCCCATTCAGAGTCTGAGTTAGTAGATGGCCCTTTTGTCACGACAGCCACCTCCTCTGTGCGAAAGCCATTTATCCTCTACAAACGAATGAACACATACAAAAGCAAGAAGATTAGGAATAAGTGGGGGAATGTAGTGAACTATGAGAATCAATACGATTTCTAAGAAACTTCAAACATATTAACACTAATATAAACCAAGAATCTTAGCTGCTAAGGTGGTTAAAAGGAAGAACTGCTCTTCACTACACATAGTGACAGCTTGAGCAATTCTAACTTCATTTTGGTCATATTTCTATAACATCGTTAATCTGACAAATAATTTCAATACACCTCGCACAGTGCTCAGTACTTTGTAATCCTATGGTCTTCCTTGTATAATATATTCTCTTCATACTTAAAAGAATTGCTTTGTCGTTTTTAAATACCTAATTTATTACTATACATAGGATAAAATGCAATTTATAAGTCAATCAAAACCTGTTCTTGAGGAGCCTGATCAGTTTGAAAAATGTTTAATGTCTCCAAGCCATCTGCCTCTTCACACTAGGCCCTCAGGGAGAAGCTAAAATCTACACTAGTTGCCAGGGAGATAGAAGTTGAGTACATCCAGCATAAACTTACTCCAATTATTGTCATGGCATCAAACATTATCAAAAATAGTAAAGTGTTTCACTGTAAACAGAATTTAAATGACCCAGCAGCTGAGATCTATTTCTTCACAGAGGAACGACATGCTACCTCCAACCTCCAAGAGAAATAAATCCTAGAAACACATAGGGTTCCCTCCTGGGCTACATGCCTCCCACTACAGAAAAAAAATAGTTTCAAAACAAGTACACTTGGCACTCCATATCTGTGGATTCCTCATTGTGGATTCAACCAACTAAGGATTGAAAATATCCAGGCTGGGTATAGTATGTTCACACCTATAATCCTAGCACTTTGGGAGGCCAAGCAAGAGGACCACTTGAGGCCAGGAGTTTGAGACCAGTCTGGGAAACAGAACCAGACCGTATCTCTACACTAACTTTTTTTTTTTTTTTTTT